GCGAACTTTCAAATTTGGGATGAAAAAAACATGAACTTTCGAAATATCATTTAAATCCTAAAGTTTAGTTTGACTTTTTGATAAAAAAGTCAAGTTTCAATCCGACTACCTCCAATTCGCTTAAGGTTCAATTTACGGCTGAATCTCTAGCACATGAGGTTCAGAATTCCGTTCCTTCTAGCCTAACAAGAGAGAGCCCTTATCTTACCCACCCAATCTTCAACATGTATTATTCTCTTCTTTGAATCTTGAGTGGCTTATCACTTGTGGATCATTATTAGTATCTCATTTTTATTTTCCATTTTAACAATGTGATTAGGTACCACACAGAGCATGAGTTGCTTAGGTACATATTGATAATAAACAAAAAAAAAATGAATTAACTTGAGACACGTTTGATACTCATCATACGACTTCGTTGTGTTGTTTGTATAACAAATAAGAGATTGGCCTCTGCAACTTCATTTGTTCACAGAAGTTAGCAATGAACTCCTCTGCTCTCACATCAAAGCCTTTTTCTTTTTCCTCCTCCTCTTGATCATATGCATTTAGATACAAAAACTAGAGAAGTTTAAGAATCTTCTTTGAAATATAAATAAAATATATTTAAAACAAAATAATTTTCAAAATATTAATTATTTATTCTTAAGAACCTATTGGGTTTTACCATTGGATGAGGAAAAATTAAAATCTCCTAATAAAGTTCTTAATGCAAAATTTATAATAAAAATATTGTTAAAAAACCCCCACAACAAGATTCATCTGTGGGGAAATTTATCAACATACGTCGTCGTTTTGAATCTTTATATTTCGTTCACAATTATTTTCAAATAAATGTTATTTTAATTTTTTAGAGATTGAGAGGAGAAGGAGACGGCGACAATGGCGAATTTGATGATGAGATTACCAATTAGCTTGAGAAGCTTCTCTGTTTCAGCTTCTTCATCCAACGGTAACGCTCTTAAGCTCTAATTCTTACACAGTAATCTGAAATTCAAGCTTGAAGTTGAAGCTGCTGCGTCTGTGTTTGATTTTTGATTTCAGGTTCGCCGCCGGTGATCGGAGGATCTAGCGGCGGTGTAGGACCGATGATTGTGGAATTGCCGTTGGAGAAGATACGAAGACCGTTGATGCGAACTAGATCCAACGATCAGAACAAAGTGAAGGAGCTTATGGATAGTATCAGTCAAATCGGTCTTCAAGTTCCGGTTAAGCAATTTTCAAATTTCTCCGATTCATATTCATCAAATCCAGAATCAGACATTTCAAAATCTAATTGTGTGTTTTGTTTGTGGAACAGATTGATGTGATTGAAGTTGATGGAACTTACTATGGTACTTTTATTAGGAAAATTTGTTCTTAGTGGTTCTTGTTCTTGAAAACTTAAAGATGATAGATTCTTCCATTGTTGTAGGGTTCTCGGGTTGTCACCGGTTCGAGGCGCATCAGAAGCTAGGGCTTCCAACTATACGTTGCAAAATTCGTAAAGGAACAAAGGAAACATTAAGGTATGTGTTTCTTTAAAGAATGACAATTTTTGGATTGATGATTGAAGATTTGCTTATATTGAAGGTTCTTTGGTTTGCACAGGCATCATCTTCGCTGAGAGCATTGTATGATAGGAACTTGAGAGTGTGTATGAAAATGGCTATGTTTAAGTTACGAATAAGAACTTTGTATTGTACAATCTTTGTGATAGATTTAGTGACTGGATTCTACGATTTATAAGTAGCAGAAACAACGGTTCAAATGATTTGCTCGTAAATTGGATCTTATGATGGCCGAGATGAGTAAGAAAAGGAAGCTGTGTTCTTTATATATAGCTTGATTGATAACTTTGAAGATCTAAGCAGAGTTTAGGTGGCATTTTGTATGTATGAATCATATTGTTCGTTCTCGCATAAGCTTTTTGCAGTTGGTTATTTGGGTCAAGAATCTATCTATCCTCTTTACAGAACACTAATGAGCCATGTTCCGCATCTGTTGGATTCATCTCGGTTTACATGTAACTTGGTTCAAATCTTCGGGTTATCGTCGCAATAGAAAGAAGTGGGCTGCAGATTGCGTTTATGTCCAAGGGAGGTTAGAAGCTTTAGAGTGGTATGTGATCACTTGTTCATTTCTTTAGTAATTCTTCTTTGGCCGATTGATACCAGCAAGAGAAAGAGAGAAATGCTATAAGAACCATGTAACACTAAGAGAGCAACGTCTTTCCGATTAGTATAGGTGACACATGACACTTTTCGAGGCGAGGTGTACTTCGGTAACTCGAAGGGAACTCGTAAATTTGGATGTTCTTTCTATTATTCTGGATTCGCTATCGAAGATACAATCAAGTTACCAAGTAAATTAAGAAGCAGAACTAATAGCAATATTTACAAACGCTTGCAATTGTACAAAAAATTGCAATCATATTAAGAAGTTTTAACCTCTCAAAGGCACAAACTTTCAACCACTTTTAGCACAAAACACTGAGCTTATAAGAAGTGAATATGAAGAATGCAAAACACTAAAACAGAGACTGAGAAAGAATGCAGAGACAGAGTATGCAAAAGATAGAGAAGTAATGATACAGAACATAAACGAGGAACACACGCAAGGTTTAACAAGTTACGACGTATTGGATTTTTTTAACTTGAAACACAATCTTTGTTTCATTTAATAAAGTTTTGAGTTTTTAATTTTGCAACTAGTAATCACTTTTAACAAAAACAAAAAAAAGCATGTAATTAAATGAGTAAAGAACATTGTGTTTGTTTTTAACTACCAACTTTGAAATAATAATAAAATAGTAAATGCAGTCTGGCAGATGCTGATTGACAGACACAAATAATCACGTCATTGATTTGGTTTGGTTAACGAATCTTATTCACAAACTAATTGTCAAACAAACAAAAAAGACGAGTGGGGATTTTTTTTTTCGTCACACTTAATAAAGTCTAATTATCTTTTCTGATTCTAATCATGGGAGACATTAAAACATAATCACGTTTCTATGGACCCAATTATTAAATTATTTACGTCAATTATAACAACAAAAACAAGGAAAACAATTAATGGAGTTATCATGCATAGACTCGTAGCGTTATACTACTTGTTTCTTGTTTTTTGTAGTTATTATGAAGACAAGTGATGTACATATTTTATATTATGAAGAGACATATCAACTAATTAGTAATGCCTTCGTTTAAAAGTTAAAATTAACAGATCTTAATTGAGTCAAATTAACGTGGATATTTAGTTTGTAAGAAAAAAATGTAGTATGAATATATTTACGTACAACTGGAAATGTTCAATTTATAAGTAAAAACACAAAACAAAAGACACTAGAGATGACAAGAGACAACACACTACTCAAGACAACTCCATCTTCCAACAAATCTTGTCATGCCAACGTCTATTTATTACTACTTGTTAGCACATCCATTAATACACTTATTTTTGTTTCTAGTCACACCAATTTATAGACTTATATACTACTAGTATAATTAGTGATGAATACAAATACATTGTATCCGAACATGGGCAGTTTTGTGATTGATTAGAGAATGTGGTGTTGTTGTGCGTGGAAATATGATTGTTTACATAACTCAAATAATATATCAACTTTATTCTACTAATGATCCGGAGCCTGGTACATATATATGTATGTCTAAAAATCTATTTGGAACGACGTTTTACTATCAGTGTTCGTGCAGGAAATCGAAGGTTTCACATAGTAATTTACAAATATGTGTAAGTGTTTTTGTGTATGCATGTATGTGTGAACATGTTGGATGGATAGTGAAGGCTGAGGACAAAGAAAGAGGAGATGCAATAAGACAGAAGACGCGTGCAATGAAGATTTCGGATTTGATCGTATCCTTTTCATTTGTCTCAGCCATTAATTCCCAAACCCTATCTTCTCTTTTTTTTTTTTCTTTGAAGATCGAAACTCGATTTTTTTTTTCTTTTAACGAAGCAGAAATATGAAATAGACAAAAAAAAAAGTTTACTATGTTAGATTTGAGTAGGTGTGCCTACTACTACTAATTTCCTTCTGTATGATTTTTTTTTTTTTTGTTTAAATGTATTTAAATTGAATTGAAGTTGTAGGTTATAAATAGATAATTACTGCAATTTAATGTGTTTGTATACACGTAAACATATTTTATTATGTTATGGTGTTAATCATTTAACCGTCTATACTGCTAATTTTTTTTAAAAAATTCTACCACATCATATTTGAACTAAACAATTTTCTTTATTTATGCCATTTGGAACACTTGGCTGTCAATATATAAAGAACTGCAATATGAACTGTTTAAACTAGTATCTCATATATAAACAACAACAAAAAATCAATATACTTGATAACTTTTCTATTCTCTTAATTAACAAATATTGTATTTGGTTTAGCCAAAAGTAAAAAAAAAATTTGATTGTTAAAATCATCTTAATAATATTTGAATGAAACTGTCCAAACACATATTCTTCTAAATTCTCACGGAAAATATCTACTTTGATAGATTAAATATATAATTAAGAAATATTAATTTATTGATAAACCGATATTTATATACAATAACAAATTATCATGATCCAAACTGTATTAACTTATATTGACATTTTATCGTATACCCAAAATAAATACACATACTGACAAAAAAATAGAAACAAAAAAATACACATTTGTGGTCCAATTATCCAAACAAGCATCAGTGTAACGTGTATTATTATTATTTCTTATTTAAATAATTATTATTCAAAGTTGCTGTTGTTGATAATTTTTTGTTATATACATGTGTGTGTGAGAGAGAAAGAGAAGAATCTCGATTAAGATTATCAAGCTTAGACATTTTTCCTGTCTCTTAGCTTTTCTTCTTGTTATAATGTTTAATTTGCCCTCTCCTAAAAACTCAAAAATCTTGGAAAAAACCTTCAAAAAGGGGCATTTCTCTTCTCATTCTTTTTTCAATTATCGTGTTCATGTACGATTTACATGGATCTATACCTATGTTGGTTTTTAGAGGCTGAAGCTGCCAGCATGATCTGGTAATTGCTACATACGACATACACACATACACTAGTTAATTTCCACACCTATATAAGTTTTTTTCCTACAACTTAAAGCATTTTTTTTCTTCCTCTTTTTCATTATTAGTGATCTCTAGTTCTTTGCCTACTTGTAATATATATTTACGGTGGATTAATGCATATGTGTGTGTATGTACATAGTTTACATGCATGCATTTTGTGTATGTGTGTGTGTATAGATAGTAGTACTAGGTCATCCTGCAGCTTCAGTCACTAAATCACCAACAATTTCAAATCAAGATAAACTAAATTTCATCAGAAAGGCGTTTCCGCGTGAACTTTTACGATTCCCTCTATCACCATTCGAGGTAACAATACATTTACTTATCATTTTCTTAATTTTACTTCTTTGTAAATCCAATTATGTGTTATTTTCAGAGTATCACATCTTCATTCTCCGAAATATACGCATATATGTTTTAGTAACAGTGTGTATGAAATATGTCCACAAGTTCATGTTTGTTGGTAGGAACGCGTTTACATGTGCCTATGTGTTTCTTTTCCTTGACCTATACTACTAATATAATTAAATAAACATATAATATATACATAGTGACGAAGAAACAAAAGAAACGTATTAGTTTAGTGACAAGACCCATAATCCTGAAAATATTAACCATTTATCTTATTGGAGACTTAGGAGAAATTTGCAATAAAAATATATAAACTTTTTTAAGTAACTTAAGTACACTCTCTCTCTCTTTTTTTTTTTTTTTTTTTTATAAATAGATTTTAACTATGGTTAAACTGGCCAATTTACTGCTTATTATATATACATCACTCTAATCTATATGATAGATATTATACAAAGTATACATTTTTAACATGGAATAGTATGATTGATTTATTGTACATGCAATGAGAGCTAATAGATCAAATTTGTTTGAATGTAAATAATTTGGAATTTTTTGTAGGGGATAGCTAGATATACACAAGCATTATCCTTGGTTCTAGATACATATAAGAACAATCTTGCATACTATACTATCTTCTTATTTTTGGCAGATTTTTATACAGAATGGTCGAGCAAAGAAAAGTCAACGTCTACACTTTTCATGTACAATTGACTACGGCTAAAGCCTTTTCTAATACAGATTGTACCATATGTAACCACTGGTCGACATTCAGATTCTCTGCGTTGATCAGCAAATCTAGTTTATTTTGAAGATCTTTAATTTGAAGGACACATGATAGATTGTACTAATTAAAATCGTGAAGATTATTCTTCCTCATATATATACTTTCATCTTAAAGATGAAATTTTATTTTTCCTATATAAAAGAGATGGAATTTTATTTCATAGCTGGTTTCTAATGCCTTTTCATCATTTGCAACGATGAGGGGTTTGTACAAATAACAATTACTAGTTCCATATATAATATAGTTCAAGAACATTGGTCTATACAATGGGTTTGAGATTAAAGATGTAAACCAAATTAAGATTTTTAAAAACTGTAACAACTAGGGTTTTAGAGATGATTGAGCACAATTCATACTAATTAATTATAGGATCCGTAATTACTATACTATGTAGGAAAAAATAAAATTTGTTTTAACCTATGTTTTGACAGAGAAAATGTCCCGAGCTTTGTCTTCAACCTTACCTTACCTTTCCACCTTTAAAGAGAAAAATGAAAATTTCACACCAACTCGACAACCTCAAGAATCTTACCTTTCAACCTGGTTTTCAGTTTATTCAACCTTAACCTGCTTTGTCTTCAATTCAACTTCTCGTGTACAACTTCGTCACATGTGGTCTTGTTTCTCTTTTTTTTTCTTTTCTCTTTACTTCATCTTTAAACTGTGTACTGTTTTTCAAATGATCTCTTTTTAGAAGAGAAAAAATGAATAAAGTTATTATTAAAAAAGGAAAAAAAAATGTCCCGAGCCAATATTCAACAAAAGCTCGAACGACATTCAACAAGAGGATACTTGTACGTATTAAGCTTTCTAAAGTTTGATACGAGCTAGAGAATCTTTACTCTATAAATTTTAATATAATATTTTATAGTTAGTTACATATGTATGAGAGTTGATATCTAACATGTTCCAAACAAACATGACAACTAGCAATTTACGAAAAATGACTTGCAAAACAATGTGAGTACTATTATTATGTGATCACTCATCTAGTAATAAGATAGTTGGTGTAAGCCAATGGCAAGTAGTCACATCCATAACCACTTCTATTGAGGAACCTTGACAAAGACTAAAAAGTCACAAACCTTTTCTGATTAAGTCATATAACCACCACATGTGATTGACTTTAAAAATACGAATTAAGAATGATAATGTTAAAAAGAATGATATATTAAATAGAATTTTTATTAGTGACTTTGAAAACTCTCAAAATCCACTAAACCAACCTATTTGGTTGATTTCAGATCTTCCAAATGGCAACAAAAAAAAAAAAAAGTCGTTTGGTGTGTGTAAGATAAGTGGGCTTCACTTAATTACCCAAAGAGAATATGGGCTCAAAACTCAAAAGCCCAAATCTAACTAATGATGATAATCATCGGATCATCAAAGAAGACATGTGAGAGAGATCACCGGAGATATCAGATATTCCGATGAGATCTTGCGATCGGTTGCAGGAAGCGTTGTTGCAGTGCCACCGTCGGATGCCGGAAGGACCGGCAAGGAGATCCGGTTGCAGACATTTGAACAAGGCTTTTGCGGAGTGCGTGGTGGCGGAGGCTTGTCCGGAGGAATCAGAGGCGGTGAGGTCTCTTTGCTCTAGCGGCGGAACAAGCCTTAAGCGTAAACAGTGCGAAGATGCTCAGCTTTCACTTTCTCTCTGTCTCTCTCGTCATCAGAGAGAATTTGAGCAGCGTTAGATAAGAAGAGCCATTATAGTTGTTTTGTTGTTGTTGTCGGTGAAAGCTTTTTGGATCTTGTGAGCTACGTAATTGGTAAATTAGGGTTTAGTTACTTTCTATAAGCTGCTCTGAACTGAAGCAGGAGCCATTGTGGTGGAATCATTTCCTTTTGTTAGTTACTTTCAAGTTTTGTCAGCTGTTCTTGGATTCAGGATTCAGAAATGAGGCTGTTTCTGTTTTGTGTAAGATGTTAGATTCAATCAGGTTTCGAGTGTGATCAATCAACAACCTCAGGTCTATTGGTTATTACTGCAACACATTTTCTCAAACGTTTTGGTGGTTTGTCTCAGCTTCAGCATCTTGACTTGTTGTTCAATCATCTGACTGGAACTCTATCTCGGTTCTTGTTCTCTTTGCCAAACATTAGTTACTTAGGCTTGGCATCTAACAAGCTCAGTGGGAAGCTACCGCTTTATCTGACCTGTGGAGTCAAACTTGGATTTGTCGAATAACAGATTAATTGGGATCCCTCCCCGTTGCTTGGCAGGAGCTTCCGGCGAGCGAGTTGTTAAACTCGGTGGAAACTGCTTGTCCATAATTGGCAGTCATGATCAGCATCAAGAATTTTTATGCGAAGAGGCTGAAACTGAGGGAAAACAGTTGCAAGGAAGAAAGATTGGGATTTTGGTTGCTGTAGTTGGTGGAGCTGTTCTTGTTCTTGTGTTTTTTGTTAGCAAGACTCCTCCTGCTATGCACAAACCGCTGCTCTTGCTGTTGTTCAAGAGAAAAGTTAGTGCCGCAAACTCGGCTTAAGGTTGTGACAGATAACTCACACACCAGTCTCTCCTCCGAAGTTCTTGCTAGTGCAAGTGAGTAACTTTGACTCAAATTGTAGACTTCTGCCTGCTGGCAATTGTCTTTCAGGAATTTAATATCCTTGTACGATTTTGTCTTGCAGGGTTATCTCTCAAGCAGCAAAGCTAGGTGCACAAGGTGTGCCCTCATGCCGGTCATTTTCTTTTGAAGAGTTATAGGAAGCCACAGACGATTTCAATTCATCACGTTTCTTAGGTGAAGGCCCCCTTGGAAAGGTATGGTTTGTCTTACGCAAGATTAGTTCTTGTGATCTGCCCATCAGTCATTTGCTTTACTCTACGTGTTTTGATTCTTTGCAGCTATACAGAGGAACACTGGAAAATGGAAGTTCCTTAGCTATCAGATGTCTTGTTTTATCAAGGAAATTCTCCAGCCAGAGTATCAGAGGTCACGTAGATTGGATGTCAAAGCTCAACCATCCTCATCTCCTTGGGCCATTGCTCTCAAACTAGCGGAGAACACGATCCTGTTGCAACCATACTCTACCTTGAATACGATCATTTTGTATGCTCTTCTTTGATACTAAACTCAGGACTCTACTTTGCTTCTGCTTCAACATTTTGCAGACAAAGTCAGAAACCCACAAGTCAAAGTATGCATCTTTTGTCCTTCTATTTCAAAATTTCATAGCGTTTAGGAGAATCTAATTCAAACTTTGGAATTTTGCAGGAAAATGGCTAAAAGAGAGGACGATGTGTACAACTTTGGATTCATACTTCTGGAATCTCTGATAGGACCAGTGCCTACTACAAAAGGAGAGGCCTATCTTCTCAACGAAATGGTATCAAATAGAAAAAAAAAAGCAATCTTCATCAATGTTATTTGCTTTAAATCATGTTGGTTAATAGCTGTTGCTGCAATATTGCATTTGCAGACGTCATTTGGGAGCCAAGACAGTCAGCAGAAACCAGTAAGTCCAACGGTCCTAACAACAAGCTCGCAGGAGTCTTTATCGATTGCCATCTCAATCGCCAATATATTATGTTTTGCTTGAACCTTCTGCAAGACCTTCCTTTGAAGATGTTCTCTGGAACTTACAATATGCAGCTCAAATGCAGTCTGCCGCAGACGCTGAACGCAAATCTGATACATCGTCGTGAATCCAAAGGCTAACCTGATGATTGATAGTTTTTTCGGTTTTATAAATGTTAAGTTATATAAGTCTCTAGCGGCTAAAAAATATTGTTTCTTGTCTCTCTTGAAACTTATTTTGTTTAAAAAATATTGATTGAAGAAGATGTTGAGTTTTGTAGTTGAAGATATTGAGTCTATCAGCTTTTTGGACTCTCTAATGTCCATCCATTCACGTTGATATAAACCAAAAACCAAAATTTACAAAAAAAAAAAAAAAGAATTTGATTTTGGGCAACTGAGAAAATCCTCCGGCGACACCAACAATGGGAAGCATGTCAATGAGAATCTCTCACTTACCCAGATCATCTCTTCCGCTGCAAAATCCATTTTCATGCCGGACATCAAACAGAAATTTCCGACATGGGTGTTCGAGGATTTTGTCTAACAGCTTC